CTGGGGTGAGGGAGAGAGAGAGACAGAGAGAAGAATTATTATTACGTCCAGGGATTCACTTCGTAAGCTGCTTTCCACTCATGCCTGCAATAGTATGGTCTCACTTGTTGCGTCTCCGCGATATCCTTTCTCTCGGCTCGTGGGTCTTGGCTCCTGCACCAGACGTCGGCCAGGACAAAGGCGCGAGTACGTGTTCTGTTTTTTTTTTTTTTTTTTTTTAGGAAAATTTGCTTTTAACATTGCTAAAGACACTGCTGGGTTCACTTTCCACGAGAATAACAATGAAAAGAAAAAAATGATACTAAATGGATGGATTTTGAGATTATTACACAGCTATTGAGCATTTTTGTAAGACCTTTTTATGATAAAGAAAGTTGACCCCCACTCAGACTGTGAAGAAAAGAGTTCGGGTTCAGAATAGCAAGTGGAAAGAAAAGAGATAGGAAAGAAAAGGAAGGCGTGGATGAGCGAACGGATAGATTAATCAATCAGTGGATGAATAAATGTAAAGGGGGGGGGGGTCGATTCGTTAATTGATTAGCTGATGGATGAATTAATAAACAGAGAGATGAAGAAAAGAGGATGGGGGGAAGAGGAGGGAAGATGAAGAGGGGATGATATTGAAGGAGGAAGAGAGAGAGAGAGAGAGAGAGAGAGAGAGAGAGAGAGAGAGAGAGAGAGAGAGAGAGAGAGAAGAGGAAGAGGGAGGAGAAGGAAAGGGAGGGTGGTGGAGGGAGGGAGGTAGGGTGAGGGAGAGCGAGGGAGGGTGAGGAGAGGGAGAGGAGAGGAGAGGAGAGGAGAGGGGAGGGAGAGGGAGGGAGTGAGGGAAGGCAAGAGGGAGATAGAGAGAGCGAGAGAAAGAGATTGCGAACAACAATCGTGAATTTTTAAAAAATCCGGAGCAGATATTTTCCATGAAACTGATGACAAAGAAAAATATACCATAAATACAAACGACTATAGAAAATAAAGAGAGAGAGAGAAAGTGAGAGAGAGAGAGAGAGAGAGAGAGAGAGAGAGAGAGAGAGAGAGAGAGAGAGAGAGAGAGAGAGAGAGAGAGAGAGAAAGAGACAGAGAGAGTCAAAGAGAAAGACGAGAGAAAGAGAGAGAGAGAGTCAAAGAGAAAGACGAGAGAAAGAGAGAGAGAGAGTCAAAGAGAAAGACGAGAGAAAGAGAGAGAGAGAGTCAAAGAGAAAGACGAGAGAAAGAGAGAGAGAGAGTCAAAGAGAAAGACGAGAGAAAGAGAGAGAGAGAGTCAAAGAGAAAGACGAGAGAATTACAATAACCGAGCATAAGTGGACATACATTAGAGTAGTTATATCAGAAACGACCCTTTCACAGAACACACAAATCACTCCAGTAAAACAAAACGACGAAGATGTCTCCGTCGCCCCTTGAATAGGCCTGGCCAATGCTCCTACTGTGGTCCTCCGCCTTTGGATCTGTGGTTTATAAGGACCATTCCCTACGCATACCGACTGTCTCATGCACGGTGTCTGGAGAAGTTCAGCAGGTTGCCCAGACTGAGACTACGACCTCTTGTCAGGTCAACCCGTATGAGATTTCTAAACGGTCATTCAGTACATGTTTAAAGCGAGTAATCTTCCTATTTTCTGATTGGATGATACTGATCGTGGTATACTGTATGGACTGTACGAAAGGCTGAATACACAAAATATGCAGAAATAAAGGACATTAACATTTACAGCACATAGCAATTAAAACGTAAAAAAAAAAAATCATAATCACATAAAAAATCATCATTCCGCTCTATTGACACGAAAAGGACCAAACAATGTCGTTTTTTTCTGATAAAACTGAAAGCCGCTTAGGAAAGTTTTGAAAACGGAGTAAACGTTTATTCTGTTTATATATAATTTTGTAATAATGTTCACAATGGAATTATCATATTCCCACGCGTAGATGGGAGAGAGATAATCATAGACAAAGGAACAGAGAATCAAACATATGGAGATGAAATGAAAATGAAAAGTAGCTACAATAAAATTCTATTTCTATCGTAACTATATGTTCCTTCCCCCTACGCACGCACGTACCTGTGTTTGTCCATATTTAAAACATACCAAGAGTCCCTGCAAAGCTTTACGTAAACGCAGAGTGTACCATTTCTAAAACAAAGCCATCACTTACTGGTTACCAAGGCAACATAAGCCCCACGGACGTCGCTGGGAATCCTTTCGGTAAACCAGACCTATCCGCGGGGAACAGTCCAGGCTCCTGCCCGTGATTGACACATGCTCTTTACCTCTTTCGGCCACAGGCTATAAAAAAACGATAACAAAAAAGAGGTAGAAGAGGTAGAGACATAGCGAACGTTGTGGATACGTTTGAAGGGAGGCGGGCGAGAAATAGCCACGGTGGCGACCTTTACTTTAGTCTCTCCAGAGTCACTCGGTACGAAGGAGACCAGAGCCAGAGAAGAGAAAAATAAGAGTTTGAATTGATGAACAGAAACGGATTAATAAAACCGGTGTAAAAAATAAATAAAGAAATAAATACCCAATAAGGTAAAAGATATACACGGAGTTTCAAGAAATGACTGAGGTCCTTGGAGAGAGAGCACTAGAAAATGAACGGACGGGCGACCGGTACTGCCAATCCATAAAACCGACTGTAATGGAGAGAAGAGTTTGGTCCTGGGATATGTGTTACTATTTTTGTCTGTCTGCCTATCTCTCTCCCTCTCTCTCTCTCTCTCTCTCTCTCTCTCTCTCTCTCTCTCTCTCTCTCTCTCTCTCTCTCTCTCTCTCTCTCTCTCTCTCTCTCTCTCTCTCTCACTTCACTTCTTCTTCACGTAGATGTTGTATTGTTTTGCGATGGTCAGTGGCAATTTCTGCTTTCCGAGAGTGTTTTATTTTTATTTTTCTTTTAATGTATAAATGCCTCGAATCATTGGCATGGTAACAATTCAAAGCTATCTGTACATAAAGATCTTATAATGTAGTAAATAGCCTGTCGCTCCGTTATATGCAGGCCGATAACGAAGACAAAATACTCTACTTCGATTCGTATTTTTCTTCTTAGTTCTATTTGCTTGCGGCTTCTCTCCTTAACATGTGAGGGGTAACCTGCCGCAGCTCGAGCTCTAGCAGCAAGAATTAGCATATAGAGTAAAAGTCTTTTATATGGAACCATATAACACACTTTTATCTCCGTGTGAGGGCTTGTAGCAGCGCCGGAAAGAAACAAGGTCTGGATCAGTCCTTTTAAGTGTGTTGTCTTGCCATAAACTGCTCCTTCCTAGTGAGCCTGACAGGGACCATTTGCATGGGTGTACGTTCTCGCTACCAAATTTCTCCCCTCTTTGTTATAGTCAAGGAATAATGTATGTTTATGTTAAAGTATACTGTTTTATTTATTTTTTTATTTTTTCCTGTATAATGGTTTCTCGGGAATTGGGTGCTGATCTTTTGCTATGCTAGGACTCTGAGTACATAATATCATTTGCCATAGATTAACAGACTGGTAGGTAGATAGGTCGTAGAAAGAGAGAGAGAAAAAAATAATAATAATGTGCACCCAGGGAGACATAACATTAATTCCGCGGACACACAAATACTTTTGGTTCATATGTTCAGATATGTTACGAGAAAGATAAAAACAGACTTCCTATTTTCTAGGAAAATGATCAGTGATATGTATTAACAAAAGTTCTCTGTTTCTTTGTACTTCTGCAATAAGCCTTTATTCTCCCTCATACATACATTGCATATGTTCTTCAGTAGCTCAATAAAAAAAATAAATAAACTAAACATTTTGCTCTACACACTGAGAAAAAGGTCTCTTTAAGTATAATTTCCCCCCCAAAAAATTAAAAAGATAAAATAAAAAATAATAAAAAAGATTTAAAAAATCGAACACATATAGCTCAGGGCTTTTCCTCGTACCTAAAAAGTTCTTTGATCCCGTTTGCCAAAACAGTATTCAAAAGCGTACTCCATCTCATCTTTGGGCTAGAGTGTGTGCACGTATAGCTTTGCGATGGTGGAATCAAAGGGGAAGATACAGAGAGAGTGCGAGAGAGAAAGAAAGAGAGGGGGGAAAGGGGAAGGAAGGGAGGATAGGGAGGGAGGAGGGGTGGGAGTGAGGGAGGGAGGAGTGGTGGGAGGAGAGGTGGGAGTGAGGTAGGGAGGGAGTAGGAGGGAGAGAGGGAGTAGGAGGGAGGGAGGGAGAGAGGGAGGGAGAGAGGGAGTAGGAGGGAGGGAGACAAAGAGAGAGGCAGACAGACAGACACGACATAAAGTCTGGCAGATACCATTTCTCAACTTCCTACATTAATTTCTACGATTATACATTTTTTTTTTTCGCTAAATATCGTCCTCTACGATCAGATCCCGTACTCAACTTTTGATTAATATAGTAACTTTGATAGGTTTCCGTTTTCTAATTACATGGGGCAAGAAAAAAAATAAAAAATGGAGATACCTTTCAGTTGTAGAACATCTGAACTTTACCTTCTTAAAGCCATGAAGACAGGTGAGTTAATGTACAGAAAAATATGCTCAATATTTAATTTACTTCACAGTAACAGATGTTTAGTTCTGTTTTCTTTTAACTTAATATAGCAACTACGCTTCCTCGTTGACAGAATGACAGACGGACGGACGAACGGAGACCTACACAGACAGACAGACAGAAAGACAGACAGACAGACAGACAAACAGACTGACTGACTGACTGACTGACTGACTGACTGACTGACTGACTGACTGACTGACTGACTGACTGACTGACTGACTGACTGACAGACAAACAGACTGACTGACTGACTGACTGACTGACTGACTGACTGACAGACAGACAAACAGACGGACGGACACCGACAGGGAGGAGGGGAGGAGGAAAATTCAAAAGGTAAAACAGAATAACGAATGCATCACGGACCGTCTTACATAAGCACGTACATTATGAAGTATTTTCAAATGCTTCTGATATGCGGGAGATTTTTTTTTTTTTTTTTTTTTTTTTTTTTACCACAG